GCAGCCATTGAGCATGCTCAATTCTCAGTTCCCTTTCTCCCTGTTAGGCTGGTATTTCCCACTTGTGCATGGCTGGTGCTGTTTTGACATTTGCAATGGCTGGAGCTCTAAAGCTAGACAGAGAAAGAACGGTTTTATGTTCCGATGTGGGGCACAAAGAAGAATAGCAATTAACATCTGAAGAACCAGCAAAGGGATCCAGGCAGGATTTATTCAGAGGCAAGGAAGAGATGGGAGGAGGGGGAGCAGGGATTGGCTGAGGATCCCTGATAGTGGGAACTGGGAAGCATGAAGGAAGTATTAAGCATTTTGGAGCTTGATGTGTTCTTGAAATATTCTGAAAATCAGATTGACTCCAGAATCTAATGGGGGAATGAGAGGCACTGAAAACTGAGATTACCTGAGTTAATAAATCTTACCATCCCAGCAGCAACCAAACCTATAAGTACACCCTTTCACATTCAACTAAAGAAAGCAGAAGAAAAGTGCAAAGCGAATGGATGCCACCTCCAGCCAAAAGAAATTACCACCAGAGAATTCCCTTTCTCTTCTGTTCCATCTGCCTTAGCACAATAGGCTTTGGGATACACAGAGACCTTCAAACAAGGGTCCAGTTTCTGGTTCTCAAGCTATATGTCACAATTGCAAGCCAAGCTGACCTCTAACAGGTTAGCTTCAGAATCCTGGATGGACAACAATCATCGGCAAAGGCTTTCCCAAATATTCTGTAAATTGAAACATTTACAGAATATTTCAAGACCGCGAGAGCCTCCCCATCTCCCAGGGTGGGAGTAAAAAGCAGTGCCGTGTGAGCTGCAAACCACCCATTACGTGCACATGCATGGAACAAAAAGCTCTGGCAGATGTTGTTTCCCTTTCCCTTTTACACAAAAGCAGATTTGGGAGGCTGAACGCTTTTCCCATAGACACTTTTCTCCTTCGGGGTTGCGGTGATTTTGAGCTCCGTCAAAACAGCTGGTAGGGAAAAGGCCACCCTTCTCCGTCCCAAACTACTGTCTCCAAAGCTGCATTTGTTTATTTAAAAGCGATCAGGAATTTGTCGTATGTCAGGGCAGCTGGGATCACGGAGGGAGGCAGCTACCTTAGTACAGTGACTGGATGCTTATGCTGATTGTTATACTGTATTTGCACTCCCTCCCAAAGAATGAAAGATTCGCTTGTGGGCATTTCTGCTTTGGGTACAAAGATGCTTGATGTGACGGGGAAGCATCATTCTCTACTTCCCTCCAGCAACAAAATGCTCCTGGCTACCATGTTTCGCACAGGCTTTATAGAACCTTATTTTGGAATATGGCATTCTAGAGTGCTCGTTTCCTTTGGTTCTTCCGCCTTCTCTGCCAGTACGCTTTTTCCTGTGTTTCACAAGTGCCTCTCTTTGTACAAATGCAGCGTGATGAAGACCCAGAGCTGTCTTTTCCAACATAATTCCCCCCCCCCCCGGATATTCTGTTACTTGAGCATGCAGAGAATGTGACGAACACAAAGACGGTGGTTCACACAATGCATTTAAGCCCGTTACTGAATTAATCTTCTGCTTTGCACAATGCATTAAACCACTTTGTACAATGCATTAAAACACACGCACGCATACACACCAACAACCAAGGTTAACGCTTATCAAACTTAGCATGTTGTGTAAATGCATCTGTTAGAGCTTTACCTAACCTATTAAGTGTGTTGCGAACACAACCTTCATGTGAATGACCAGCCTCCTTTTCAAACATACCCAGGTCTGGCCATTGGCATAGCAAAGGAGGAGGAAAAGAAGCTGAGTGGAAAGTAATTCTTTAAAAACAAAGTTATGTTGCAGCTCAGTTAGAAATCAAGGCCTTTACCCTTAAGTCCCACTGCTTTAGAGCTGCTGGCCATGTCAGGTGGCTGGGACTACTCCCAGGGCCTCCACGCTGAGCATGGTCAGAATTTCACTCTTCCCTGTTTCTGCAAAAACCGTCCTCGAGCTTTAAAGAGTTCCCTGAAAGCCTGGGTTGAAAGTTAGCCTTAAGGGTGCCTTCTCCTTCTACAGGTGCCTGCTGCACAATATGTGAGATGACCCTGAATCTAAAACCCTCAAATCTAAACTCCTCAGTGCCCACTCCTATGTGGCCATGGGAGAGAGAGGTTCCTTCTGGTTCCATTTCTGTTGTCACGGCTGCAACTATGATCACCCTACGAAGACCCTGAATGTGGGCCAAAGAGCTTAAAAGGCAAAGAGATGCGAACTCTCTCTCTCTCCTTTCCTCTTGCCACTTTGCTAAGCTTTGTTCTGATCTTGACCATCCTTAGATTCACTGTTGCTCTTATTTATTTTATATATATATATGATGAGATTCCACAGAAGGTTGTGGAGAATAACAGGGCTAAGATCCTGTGCAGAACCCTCAAACTCCCAGGCCTCTGGTAGAGGACCCGAGATTGAGGAAGACACGTACCACCCATAGGGGTGAGAGGGGATTTTTTTTTTTTTTGATGAAAGGAAGATTCCTTATTTTTAAGGCAAATGCAAATGGCAACCAACCACCTGCTTACTCCAGAGAACATGAAAGCCAAATAAATTAGGAATTATGGATTACAGTGAGGAATAGAAAGATGGATGGGCAGGACTGGGGCTCCTTTTTAATCTATCTGTATGGTTTTTTTCTTTCTTTCTGAGCACTGTTATTTGGACAGGAGGATGAAACACAGGAAGATAACAAATCGCCTTCACAGTATCCTCATCTGGATATAAGAACTTGGGCCATCTTCTGCTCCTGTATCAGCCACTTTATCATTCCACTCGGTGAATTCAACATGACAGGAGGAATGGCTGTGGTTCTGATCCTATCTCTCCTCTTCAAGGCACCCAAATTCAATTTATCATCAGGGCTGTCTGCCCTGTTTCTTGCTTAACCTCTTGAACAAGTACACAAATTGTACAAGTTTGTGTAGTTAGTGGACCCAGCAGCCTTCCCAAATCAGGTGTCCTCCAGATTCCCCAGGTTTTAATCCCATGTACTCCCAGCCACCACAGGCCAATAGAAATTGTAGTTCAACCTGTCCAAGGGCACCAGATGAGAGAAGGCAAGATTAGAATATCTCTCTCTTACTGAAAACACCCACTGAACCATCAATCCAGCCACAGGGCCTGAGGGATGATCTGGGTCCAATCATTCTGCCTCAGCGTAATTTGTTTTGCAAGGTTGGGGTTCTGCAAGAATAACAAGGAAGCAGAGGAAAATCATATAGTCTGCCTTGAGCTCTTTGGAGGAAAAAGCTAAATGTAATTGAAGTGGTATGTAAGCACTATATATTACAAACATAAATGTAATAACAAAACTTAAACAAGGCAACCTTCAAAACAAGCAACAAGTTTATAGAGGGAATAAACAAAATGCCAACATTTCTGAGAATGTAGAAACCTGATACCAGCATTTAGGAGTACTTTTCTCTAACAATACGGTGCCTCTCAGATGTTTTTTATTATAGTTCCCATGATCCCTGACTTATGGCCTTGCTACTTTGGGTTTACAACAGTTGCACCCCAAAACATCTGGCAGAAACCATGATGCCTGTAGAGAAGGAAAAGGTGATGACCCTCTATTACCTTTTGACCCTTCATCATCTGCCCAGTTCTATAATTATCCTCTCCCTTTCTCTCCTTTTCTTTAGACAGATCATGATCAAGGGGGAGAAGGGAAATCATAACTCAATACAGTCTTTGGAAATTGTTTATGACTTTGATAACACGTCCTACAAATGGAAAGCGGGGGTGGGGGGAGAAGAGAACAACTCACCCTTAGAACATGCAGTGCATCTCTTCCATCTCTCCAGCTCAGGCAGAGCCTCTGGGAAATGCCACAGCCCCCCACGACCCAGTTCCGTCATGGCATCTGATCATCCACCTCCCCCACTGGCTCCCACCCACACATCTGAAAGCAAAGCAGATGTGCCTACTGTGGTTGCCTGACCCCAGCCTAGGAGGCAGGAAGCCCCAGGCCTAGAGGTGACAAGAAGAGCTCTGGCCTCCTGCGGGAAACCTCAAACCTGATGGCTCCCCTGGTGACTGACAAAGACCTGCTGAACTAGCATACTGGTGGAGACTTCCCTGGGTACCTGCTCTCTCCCTCCTATGCTTGTTCCCAGATAACCTCTCTTCTTACTCATATCTATCACTAGCCCTACAAACTTCCCATCCAGAATTTCTGCAGCTACTTCTGAAGCTCCACATCTCTTCCAGAAAGGGATTATTTTAGGGGACCCATTTCAGGAACAGCTGATGCTTCCCCAAAGCAGTATAGGAGGACCTCAATTGGGCTGCCTATTTATATGGACTACATTACTCCTTTCTGCTTCTGGCTTTGAGAAGGCATAAAGCACATCCTCCACAAAGGTGGGATGTGGAACATGTCAGAACGGGAGCACATGGGATCTATTCAATGCCTGCCACCCTTCTGAATGGGCTATAGTACCTTCACTAGGCTCACCAGCCAGCAGGTGGAGTTGTTCGAAGAGAGTTGTTAATGCGGTGGACTCTCCAGGTCTGGACAATATCCAAGTGGCTCATCTACCCACAGCATCTCTCTTCTGTTCCTTTGAAGAGGACTTTGAGACCATAACTATCTACCATCCTTGTTCCAAAAAGAAACCAAGTAATGCTTCAGTCCCCATCCATTTCTCAGGGATTCTTCAGCACCAATCTCTCCATTTCAAGATATTGTCTCTTGATTTGGGAAGCCAGTCAAGACCGTCCCAGTAAAGAAGGAAATACTTTTCCTCCTCCCAGATGTCCAGCTAACCCAATCCCCTGTATCACCTGCAACCGTGCAATAATTGGTAACAAACCCTGGCACCCCCAGGTTTTCTCATCCCCAACTTTCTAACAGCTTTTCTCAATAGCCCCAGAGCTCATCCCCCCTCAACAATCAACTAGGAGGAGGCCAAGTTCTTTTAAGTGGGCGGCTCCCAGCTTAAAATAGCCCCTTTCTCTCAGCCTGTCAACTCACCACTTCAGAGTCTTCGAATCCATGGAGATATGAGTCGTCATACATGGGGGAAGGAAAGAATCGTTGAGGAAGCAGAGCCGAGAGGGAAGAAAGATAGGAGCTCTTCCAGCTGGACAGAGGTCTACGGCTGTGCCCCCTGGCCCAGTTGGGTTGGGGGCAGCAGGTGGCACACAGTGGCAAAGCAACTCAGCCTGCAATCGATCTGATTCCCCACCCTGGATGCTCTCATTCTCAGCTGAGCAGCAACAGCAAAAACAATAGCGCCCACCCACCAGCCCTCCCTTGGGGGCAGGCACAGAGACAGGCAAGTAAGGAGGGAGGCGAGGCTGGCAGTGGCAGCTGGACAGTTCAGCTCTATCTGCACCTCCTTGTAGCAACACAGAAGATGTGGGATTGGGTTGCCACGGGGCATGAAGCAGCAGGAGGACACGAGGAGAGAACTGGTGATCAAGAGGGTACTTGGAAGTGTGGAACAATCCCACTGGGTGGGAGGAGAACAAGAAGTATAACCACACTTTCCAGCAAACACATACCCCATTATACTGTCTCCCAAGAGTTAAAGGTGTATCAGACAATTCACCAGAGATGCAGGAAAACCTACTGAGACATCCAACCTGTGGGTGGGTGGGGACCCTTCATGGGGTTACAGCCACCACAACAATGCAGGGTAGGCTGGAATGGGCATAGCAACATGGGACAAGCAAATTCACATGGACAGGGAATCACAGAGGACTGCCCTTCCATCGTACACAGTTTCCTCAATATCAGCTTTTATCCAGTTACCAATAATCCTAATTTTCTGCACATCACATTCCTAGTCCTCAATGCCAACACAGTCTCTTCTGTAACCTCTGGCAACCATGAGAAGCATTCTTGGACAGATGCCTTGATTCATACTTCACCAACCTACCTCTTCTCCCTCGCTGCATTGGACAACTTCCACCATTCCCTAGAGGATGGGAGCTATAGTCCAACACTTCTGGACAGTACCAAATTGGGGAAGACTACAACCCATTCTACTTTTGCTAAGACCTTCAACTCTGCAGGCACCTACCCTGGATCCCACCAGATTCCCACTCTTACCTACAGCTAACCCCACCAACTTTGGGATGGGTGATAGCACAGAAATGAACAAGGCTGACAGGGCAAGGAGGAGGTGGGGGGAGGACTTTGCAGGAAGTGGGCCAGATGGGGATTTTCCCCCTGCAGTCCCTCAGTCTCTGGTTCCATCTGCCTCTCTCAGTTCGGTGCCAGAGCTGCTGGCACAATCTAATCTCTGCCCCACGCCCATTTCCCATCCAAAGTTGGGGAGATGTCCAACATATTTGGCGGGGGAGGGGTTAACACCAGATTTTGCAAAACGAGATTCAATCTCATCCTCTCTTCACGCTCTTTCCTAATAGGAGGTTTCACCCCATTCCCGTCTGTGATCCTAAAAAACATAATCGGAACACCGAGAAGGGGAACCGTGACCGAAGAGGAAAAAATGCCCAGTCCCTCCTTTCCCGCTCCCCGACGCCCCTTGCCCTCAGTTCCGCCGGGCACGGTCTCCGGCGCTGCCAGGAGTTGCATTCGGGGCGAACGGGGAATCTGGGCAGAGGGGCAGGAAGGACCGTCCGCGCCTGGCCCTGGGGCTCAGCGGCGGGAGAGGACGAAGCCGGGAGGCAGAAAAGGAGAAGGAGGAGAAGGAGGACGAGGAGAAGGCGAAGGAGGTAAGAGGGGC